GCGCCTCGCCATCTATGCGCCCCGCCATTTATACACCCCATGCTGTGTTTGTAGCCTCTGAATGGCCGTGTCTTGCCTCCGTGTTGCTCTAACGGTAACGTCTGTTTCAGGTTTACATCCTCAGCAAAGAGGAAGGAGGGCGCCACAAGCCTTTTGTCAGCAATTTCTTACCCGTCATGTTCTCGCTGACCTGGGACATGTCCGCCCGAGTCACTCTCCCCGAAGGAAAGGTTCGTGCTGCTTCATTACTATTGCTTCATTACAACACCAGGAGCCATGGTGTAGTCTGAGGTGGAAGGGGACGGCGGTGATGTTTCAGGGCTGTGCCCTTTTATCAGGCCCGGTCCCGCTCAGACTTCACCAGATCTCCCCCTGACCTGTATGTGTTGTTTTCTTGTGTGGTCTGTACTCTGATCTCTGTACATTCCAGGGGTAGAGGAACTCCAGCACTCTGCCTGTGCTGCAACTACAAATCTCATGAGGCATTGCAAGACTTACAGCCACAGGCGTGACTCCTAGAGGCAGATGCTAGATATGATTTGTAGTTTCACCACAGCTGGAGGGCTGAAGTTTGCCTAAAGAAATGCACCCGCATTGTGCTCTGCATTAGACAAAATGTCACGTGCCCGTTGTGGTGCATTGGCAGCCTATTGGAATGAAATGTGCTAATGCAACATCTGTGGGGTGGACAGAGTGGATGTGACTAGGCCCTAAAGATGAGTTCAGAAGTGTAGTGTGTGTGCAGTGAAGGCTGACTACAATTCCCCCCCAGTACCTCCTCACATTGGTTCTCTGACCTCGTAGTAACGTCTTCCTCCTCTCTTGCAGGAAATGGTTATGCCCGGCGAAGACACCAGCCTAACCATGACCCTCCGGCAGCCAATGATCCTGGAAACGGGTCAGCGCTTCACCTTGAGAGACGGAAACAAGACCATCGGCACTGGAATCGTAACGGACATCCTGGAGATGCAACCAGGAGACGACGAGGGATTAAATTAACTCCCCATTTCATGAACTTACCCCATTGGGGGGAAAAGGGGGGAAGGGCAAGAGATTTCTAATGATTGGAAGACAAACATCAGCAAGTGTAGCACTTCAGACTCCTCTGTGGCCCCGACCTTCTCTGTGTATTATACTCCCTGTCCTGAATAATGCAAGTGCTGCCCCCTGCTGGTTGTGAAGGAGTTGCAGGATCCCGGGATCAGGGTCTCTATGGGGATTTTGTCCTGTGGCCGGGGTCACAGGGGGGCATTTATGTCAGTGCACATTTTATGATCTACATAAAGAATTCTGATCATTTCTGACTATCAGTTTAGGGTGGGAATGCTTCGGGAAGTGTTTTTGGGAACGTATCCTCTATCAGAAGCGCTGACATGAACGCTCTTATGTGACCCGGCATGTTATGGATCATGTTCTGTTTGTGACCACACAGGGGAGTAACCTCACCGATGTCTTGGCTTTCATTGTCCCCATACAGGCAATCCATGGGCTGCTTTTCTTTTGTAATAAATGTTCATTTGACCTGTAATGATGAAGTTTTGCATTTATTAAAGGAGTTTGAAAGTCACAGGATATGCTTGCCCAGCGCTGGCAACCTCGGCACTCCAGCTGTTGTAGAACTACAAGTCCCATGAGGTATTCCAAAACTATTCAGAGTCTTTGGAATACCTTAGAACAACTTCCTGGACTCCCAGTGTGCTTTGCGTCTCTTTCCCTGCTGCAATCTCCATTTCTCCAGGCTACATGTCCCATCATGCATTGCTTCCAGCAAGCAGTGACAATGTTACATTGATCAGACGCTGAGTTGTAATTCAGAGCGGTGACGGAAGGAAGTGAATACTCAGAGCTGAGTGATACGGTGTCAGTGAGGAAGTACAATCTATAGGTATCTTTTAGATGGATCTGGTTATTAGGAGCGGGGTAGAACTTCAAATTCAACATAGAAATACAGATTTATTTATTGACCATAGATCCCCTTTAAGCGGGGAATGTTCAGATACCAAGTGCCGTCCTCCGTCATGTGTAAGGAGCTCCCGGGATTTGTACATCTCTGTTTTATTTTGTTTTTATAAATAAAGGGATGCACCGGTACCAGTTTTGTGAGTCCAAGTCGTGATACTGGTCCAAGTCCTCACAGATACAAGTACTGATACATTTTTTTGTTGTCATGTGACAGTTTTTATAAAACAATACAGACTAATGATTTCAGGACAGCGGTGGAGCGGCAGAGCCCGGTCCCAGCTGCAACCCTGGTAGTTCTCATGAAAATGGCAAGTATCGGCACCGGTGGATCTCTAGTTTAAGCCGGTAATTGTATTACACGGGAACTAATCCGAGTTCTAGGTTGCCAAAGATATGAATCCATAGAACCCCTCCAGGTAAGAACATATGGACTCTAGTGGGGAGCTGTGGTCCGTGTGCCCTCATCTGATCTAACAAGGGTTGTGGGGTAAATGCCCCAAATCAGAGTCTTACAATGCTACATAAAATGCAGTGCGTCCCAGCAGCTAACCGCACTGAACGCACTGTAATTAATTGGTCTGAACAAGCTCCAAGTCTGAATACACCTCTGCATAGGAGCGTTGGCTGTGGCTCTAAACAAGCCTGAGCAGATTTCAAGACTGTTGGGTTATCTTGCCACCAACAAGAAATGTACAGTCTCGGACGGGGGGAGGCAACCTCAGTACTCCGGCTGTTGTGGTACCACAAGTCCCATGAGGCATTGCAAGGCTGACAGCTACAGGTGTGACTCCCAGAGGGAGAAGCATGGGATTTGTAGTTTCACCACAGCGGGAGTGCAAAGGCTGCCTGCCCCTGGTGTAAGAATTCCCTTTACTGGATGATAACTTATGTCTGAATATTAAATAGTTTTACGGAACGGATATAAATCACAATACAGGAAGGTGTCTGTGTAACCCACGGCAACCAAGAAGTTAATTTATCCGGTTTGTGTTGCCGGTTGCTATGGGAACTGGATACTTTCCTCCATCTTAATACAGGAGCCGCCCCCTCCCATAGAAAAAAGAAAACCACGCAGTCTCTCCAATCAGATTTCACACATCGTCTGTAACATTTTATTCTACAGGAAAGGCACACGGAGAACGGGAGGATCTGGAATCCAAATCACACAATGTACACAGAGCCGAGGTCAGAGGCTCCCAAGAGGAGCAAAGACGTCGGTGACTTGCGGCAGCTCGTCGGCTTTAGGTTAGAAGAAGTGGTAATTCCAGAGGTGGGCACCCTCGGCCCTCTAGCTGTGATGACGGAGTCCTGAGGTTGCGCAACCTTAATCTGGAGCAGGGGTAGCCAAACTCCGGCCCTCCAGTTGTGGAACTACAAATCCCGCGAGGCATTGCAAGATTCTCACAGCCACGGGCATGATTTCCAGGGAGAGATGCATCATGGGATTTGTAGTTTTGCCACAGCTGGAGGGCTGGAGTTTGGCTACCCCTGATTTAGAGGATCACTAGGACAGGGGTGGGCAACCTACGCACTCCAGCTGTTGTCGAACTACAAGTCCCATGAGACATTGCAAGACAGCCAGAGGCATGGTGGGATTTTGATGTGCTGAGGTTGCCTGCCCCTGGATTAAACAGTCGGTTCACCCAAAAGTGATATTTTAGTTCCAGGTGGTGGCCGCTTCTACCTCCAGCATAGGGTTTTCCTGCCATAGTTCTGGTTCCACCACAGTCATCCTCAGGCATTCTCCATACTCTAGATCAGAGGTAGGCAACCTTGGCACTCCGGCTGTGGTGAAACCCCAATACCCTCTGGGGGGTCATGTCTGTGGCTCATGTCATCCACTCATTCCCGGGTATGATAGAGGGCTGGAGGGTAGCAAGCCCCCAAACAAACTAAGAATTGAGGTCAGCAGAGGCGCCCGGACGTAACCGATGGAGAGATAATCTTTTGTCTGGTATCGGATGAGGGGCACAAGTATAAAACACAGACGTCGGGAGATGTCTCTTCCAAGTGTCTCCTCCTGAGGAAGTGGCCATATTAGAGTCCCGAAACGCGTTCACAGTGGTTTATGACTTTCCAATAACAATTGTTGATAACATACAAAAGATCTCCTGTCCATATGTTTCGTCCGGCCACCTCTGCCGACCTCATTTCTTGATTTTTTTTCCTACTTTACCCTCCAGGCCTGATCGGGTTCCCATAGCCTCTCATCTCCAGACTGTCCAAAGCACACCCCAATGAGCATCAAGTGTGACCGCGGACAGAAGTATTCCCCGCAAGCCTTATCTTCTGGTTGCCTGATATCCCTATAGGAACGTCCCTCAACCATATCCATGTGAGTATTGGACCTCAAATCCTCCAATCATTCCTTGTCCTCCAAATCATTACCAGCTGGGACCTTGGTCCTCATCTTTTCTTCTCCAATATTTTGGAGTTCTCTCTTCAATGGTAGACAGCTGACCTCCATGCCCAGCACTTTTGTCTTACTCCTCTACATGTACTGTACACGGCCTTCCAATAATGATCAGGGGTGGACAAGACTCCGACCCTCCAGATGTGGTGCAACTACAAGTCCCATGGGGCATTGCAAGACTCTGAGAGCCACAAGGATGACTCCCAGAAGCAGATTCATGATGGGACTTGTAGGTTCACCACAGCCGGAGGGTCAGAGTTTGCCTACCCCTGGTGCAGAGTAATAGGAGAGGTCGCATCTTGGGTTGAATTGGATCCAATGAATTGGATCGAGATAGAAGCGGTGGGTCCTCCTCTTGAGTGGTCCATTGGATGGATGTACGATATACCAAACATGAACCTATTTCCACCATGAAGGGTTGGATTGCCCATGGACTACGGACGCGTGTCTGTAATAACTTGTATCCTGAGGTCAGGAGGGGTTGTTTTGGGGCATAAATTGAACCAGCCCCTTCAACAAAACCCCAGTGAAGAGTCACAGAGAATAGAGAGGTCAACCAGTAGAGTCCTGTAGTTCTGTTTGTTTGCAGTAAGAATCCCATGAGAGAAACCCTGGCAGACTCTCCCACTTCCTTGAAGCCGGCACAAAGCCTTTGGGGCCTCTAAATGTTGGGGAAATGGTCGAACTTCTGTGGGCGGTGCTTGGTTTTCCCCTCTGGGGCCGGAGAGACTCCATTCCCGGGAATGTGAGGCAGGAGCTGAGTCTGCGGAGAGAAATCGCGCACATGAGTGGGTCACATGGATTAAACTTACGTCCTGCGCTAGGCCAGGATCCGCCTTTTACTGATAAAGGTCCTCCAGGCGGATGACTACAAACTGGCCCCACAGCTAGAGCCTACTGCACTGATGTGTGCTGAGAAGTCATATCCTGACAGGAGGGGAAAGGGACCTCATTGGTGTGCTGCTGCTCCTTCATTGTCCAATCACAGGCAGGGGGCGGGGAGGTGGCCTACATTGTTCAGTAACTGCAAGAAGAGGAAATCAGGTCGCTGGCTGTGCTGTCTTAGCAGGTAAAAAGCTACCAAGCTGTTTGCCTGGAGCTCAGCTTTAAAGGAGAACTACGAGGTGAGTGAGAATCATTCGGCCTCATAGTCCTAGCCGACCTGTGACAATGAGACTGTGACAGGTCGGCTCAGTAGATCGGGAAGTGAGTGAACACATACCGGCGCTCACTTCTTGATCTACCCCTGCAGAGAGCCGTGACTGTCACTCATGGCTCCCTGCTGGGATTCCCCTCTCTCCGATCCTCCAGCGCTGACTGGCGGAACGGACGGGGGAGGGGCGGGCACAGCTGGCTCTGCCTCTAGATAGGCAGAGCCAGCTGTCACTCACGCAGCTGGGTGGATCCAGACATAATTGTCGGGATCTGTCCCGGCTGCGGCATCTCAGTATACTGCAGCTCGCGGGATACTGAGCTTTGCGTCACGGGAGGAGGTCAGTATGTGTCCTCCCGTGACCCTTAGAAGAACTATGGGGAAAAGCCCTGACCCCATAGTTCTCCTTTAAATATCTGTTCGGGGACTTGGTGCCATGATCCCTGCTGATGGATTGGCCTCCGATTCTCCCTCAGTACTAATCGTCAGCATAGATCAGACAATCGCTGCCCTGACCAAAGCCTGACCCCACACATTCAGAACTTGGGAGGTCAGACAGGGACCTAAAACTTGCCAAGCGGCTTCTGAAGTGAGAAAGGTAAAGAATGTCTGAGTTACTTATTTTTCTATTGATGATCACATAAGACACAATGAGGCTTCACCTGTTGCCTTCTGCGTGCCTTCCGATTCCTCCTCTCTGGCTCCTCGCGGGCGGGGTTTAGGTAAGCACTCTCCAGGAGCTGCTCACAGGTCAGTCTGTCATCAGGTTCCATCTTCAGGCAACCCTAAGGGGAGGAGTCACAAGGGTGAGCATGCAGCAAGGTCACTTCATAGAGCACAGCGTCCGCTGAGTATGACATCACGGTGGAGGCGTGTCTACTGGACAAGTATTACATTACAATGCATCAGAGCTTACAGTGAGTACAGTGTACCTGACACGGACCCAGAGAGCAATCTGTTATTCAGGTCTGACTAAGATGTGCCATCCCATCTGTAAATCTTTATATATATACACATTTATTTATTTTTGATGGTTTTAATATAAAAAAGATATATATTTATATTTTACTTTTTAATTAATTACATTTTCAGTTAAATAATTAAGAAAAATTCATTCAGTGAAGTTCAGATGATGTCTGATTGACCGCAATACCATGTACAAAGTCACCATTTGCATCCCCGCCATGTGAGTTTGGGGCCTGGTGACTGGCCAATCAGGCACGGCATTGTGGGAGGTGATGGGGAGTGTAGACATTTGCCCTTTATCCAGAATAATGGGGGGGGGTTAGGGCTCCAGATAGGGCTTAGACAGAAGTGGCATTTGCAGAGCCTATAGCTGTGTGATTGACGGTTGCAGCACATTACTACCACTAGATGGAGCCGAGGAGCTGAAGAAATGTGCTGTGAACATCATTCGCACGCTATATGCAGTGCAAGCGTGTTATAAATCAGCCCGGTATTGTACCTGCTGTACACTGTCAGAATGAGTCCGTGTTTTATGAAGTCAGAACAAGTTTGATTTCACAGTAGAGGCAGCATTGATAGTACATTGGGGGTGGCTGCCTAGTATTCCCATCATATGTATTGTATATTATATTGCAGGGCTAGGCAACCTCAGCACTCCAGCTGCGGTGAAACTACAACTCTCGTCATGCCTCTGGGAGTCATTCCGGTGTCATTACCTTCATGAAGGCCATGGCTGCAGAGTGGATATTAGGGAACTTCTCCTCCAAGGTCTCCTGCGGAAGGAAGAATGACATTGAAAGTAAAATAGAAATAAAGAAATCAGAGCGGGTTTTGATTGAATTTCTTCTATAGTTCTGGGTCTAGAGCTGCAGCTAACGATTATTTTCAAAATCGATTAGTTAGCCGATTATTAAGTTCGATTAATCGGTTAATCGGATAAAAAATAAAATACATTTTTAAAAGTGGCTCCAGTGATGGACTACTAGTTTGTATTGAGATTGTAGTCCATCTATAGCTGGTGGTATTCCGCATTGCGCTGTATAATGTATCATTGCTGGGATCTGTAGTCCTCTATACAGCGCAATGCAGAATACCACCAGCTATAGAGGAATACAACAAATAGTACATTATACATACAGCGTATTGCTGGGATTTGTATTCCTATGTATAATATACAGCACAATGTACCATCAGCTATAGAGGAATACAAATCCCAGCAATACATTATAGAGCACCATGTGGGGGGGAGGGAAGTGCAGGCTTACCTGAGCAGTCTTCCAACAAGTTGCTTCTGAGATCGGGCCTGTCTGTCGGCGGCTGTCACCCCTCACCTGCTCCTCCTTACTCCTTCTTCCCGCGTCCCTGTGCCGATCGTGGATGTGGGCGGGCGGTGAGCGGGAGTTGGGGAGGAGGTGCGGTGCGCAGCTTGTGTGGAGCCGTGAACAGGGCCAACTAATCAGAGGCCGATTAATCGATGATTGAAAAAGTTGACAACTTTTTCAATCATCGATTATAATCGATTATGTTGATTAGTTGTTGCAGCCCTATCTGGGTCCAGTTGATGTGTGAAGTACCGGTGCCATAAAGCATCCAGCCCAGTCCTGAGATCTGACAGCGGACTGATCTGAGTTTGCTGTGAGCTGCACTGAGCAGGTCAGCGGCCATTACATACAGAGGCTCCATATGTGCTAAGGTCAACAATGGTAAATGGCTGAAGATCCGGCAGCGCAGTGTCCCTGCGTTTGCCATTACAAGGCCCTTTATGTGCACCGATTGTAGTCTAACGTTGGTACTCAGCACATGACTTCTTACTCTTTGGACTACAACCTCCCATCATCCCCTGGTCCAATGATACCCTCTTACTGGACAGAGTAAAAACCAATGGTGCTGGTTGGCCCCGATGTCAAGAAAATGAAAAAACCTCCGTACCAAAGTGACGCTCGGGTCAGAGGAGCGCACAGGAGGGCCTGAGAAAGGTTGATGCTTAGTTGGCTCTTGCACTGTCCCGGTTACATACCACATCATCTGGATCGGGCTCCGGGATGCTGGCGCCATGGAAGTACTCATTGCTGTGGAATATGTACTGGTGTCTGGGGATCAGCTTTCCTGTGGGACAAATTCCAAAACATACATCAGCAATTCAAATGAAGAAACCTATTAAAGCAGAAAACTACAGGAGGGGGCGGAGACAAGACCAGTCACCCTGCACAAGAAGAGAAATCAGCAGTGACCGGTCTTTATTACAGGAGGGGGCGGAGACAAGACCAGTCACCCTGCACAAGAAGAGAAATCAGCAGTGACCGGTCTTTATTACAGGAGGGGACGGAGACAAGACCAGTCAACCTGCACAAGAAGAGAAATCAGCAGTGAGCGATCTTTATTACAGGAGGGGGCGGAGACAAGACCAGTCACCCTGCACAAGGAGTGAGAGCAGCAGTGAGCGGTCTTTATTACAGGAAGTCTCACACGGGATTACTGCACAGATCTGGATGAAATACACAAAGCTCAGCAGGATTCAGGGAAGAGTACACAATGTTACTTTAAAAAGGTTCAACAAGTTTAGTTAATTGCCCCTTTTTAGTTGTATATTTCTCACCTTACCCACAATGCAGCAGGTCCCCCATGCTTACCGAGGGTTCTAATGATGAGGTAGAGTTGGTCCACATCAGATTTTCCTGGCCACAGAGGTTGTCCAGAGAGCAGCTCAGCAAAGACACATCCTACGGCCCAAACATCCACCGCCGCACCGTACTGCGTGTCCCCGACCAGCAGCTCTGGAGCGCGATACCACCGAGTGGCCACGTAATCTGTATAATCATCTCCAGGCCGAGCTGTGGAGGAAAAATTAACAAGACGAGTATATAAACAGTAATGTCCCCATACATGTGTCCCGAAACATGTGTCCCCATACATGTGTCCCGAAACATGTGTCCCCATACAGCAATGTCCCCATACATGTGTCCCCATACAGCAATGTCCCCATACATGTGTCCCGATACAGCAATGTCCACATACAAGTGTCCCGATACAGCAATGTCCACATACATGTGTCCCGAAACATGTGTCCCCATACATGTGTCCCGAAACATGTGTCCCCATACATGTGTCAAGCAATGTCTCCATACATGTGTCCCGATAAGAATACACAGCAATGTCCCGTTACATGTGTCCCAATAAGAACACACAGCAATGTCTCCATACATGTGTCCCGATACAGCAATGTCTCCACACATGTGTCCCAATAAGAACACACAGCAATGCCTCCATTCTCACCAGGACATGTGATAAATGCCGTCAGAGATGAATATTGATGAAAAACCACATTCACTGTTAGAATGAAATTAGTTCAAGAAATTTTCCATCCCCGTCCTTCGATTTTCTCATCAGCAGAAAACAATTGTGTTGATGACCCCACTCACTATTATTACTAAAATCACACAAACTTTCCAAATAACACATTTGTTTGAATGAAAGTCTCCAGGTGTATGGCCGGCTGTAGCCTGCTGCCCCCTACGCCTGTCCTCCCCAATGATCAGCCTGATCCAGAGAGAGTCTCCAATCATCACATCCCTGATCCCAGGAGATGAAAGACTTACTTAAGATTCTGGCAAAGCCAAAGTCGCAGAGCTTGATGACTCCTTGCTTGGTGAGAAGTATGTTCTCCGGTTTGACGTCGCGGTGGATGCACTGCCAGAAAGTGAGACACATTTCAAGCGAAATAAAGTTTTTGATAAGAAGGAAAAAACACAAATGAGTGTCTAAATGTGAACCTGAAATGTAGAGCCATTGTGATTATATGAAGACATCGGTCACCTTCAGTAGAATAGAAACCAAAGTCTAAAGAACGCAAGGCTTGGATTCTGTATTGTATGTTCACCAGAGATAACTCGTCTGTCCCCCGTACTTGTTCAGAATACATTGCAGTCCTGTGTCATATGACCCTGCTCCAAAGAAATATATTTGCAGCTAGATCCATCCCTGGAATGGAGTTATACTTGAATCTCTTGTTTTGAGGGGCTTTGTCCTCCAGATGACATTCTGCATGCTGTGACCCATCCAGGCACTTCTAGCCAAGGAGTTGTAGGTGCCCCAAGGAGCTAGAGGAGCTCCTTGTGTGTATTGGGCATCCAGGGACTGCTAGCCAAGGAGCTGTAGGAGCTCTTTGTGTATTGGGCATGCAGGGACTGCTAGCCAAGGAGCTGTAGGTGCTCTGTGTGTATTGGGCATCCAGGGACTGCTAGCCAAGGAGCTGTAGGAGCCCCTTGTGTATTGGGCATGCAGGGACTGCTAGCCAAGGAGCTGTAGGTGCTCTGTGTGTATTGGGCATCCAGGGACTGCTAGCCAAGGAGCTGTAGAGTATTGGGCATCCAGGGGCTTCTAGCCAAGGAGCTGTAGGTGCTCTGTGTGTATTGGGCATCCAGGGGCTTCTAGCCAAGGAGCTGTAGGTGCTCTGTGTGTATTGGGCATCCAGGGACTGCTAGCCAAGGAGCTGTAGGAGCCCTTTGTGTATTGGGCATGCAGGGACTGCTAGCCAAGGAGCTGTAGGTGCTCTGTGTGTATTGGGCATCCAGGGACTGCTAGCCAAGGAGCTGTAGGAGCCCCTTGTGTATTGGGCATCCAGGGACTGCTAGCCAAGGAGCTGTAGGTGCTCTTGTGTGTATTGGGCATCCAGGGGCTTTTAGCCAAGGAGCTGCAGGAGCCCCTTGTGTGTTTTGTGCATTCAACCTCTTTTGTTCTCATGTTTCATCCTAGCAAGTTCAAGTAAAGCATCAGAATCTGCATTCAAGTGTGGACCTGAACTGCTTCATGAATGCAAGAGTATGTAAGTGATAGACCCTTGGGACAAGGTCTTCTTGGGAGGCAGTGCCCCTTATAAGCCCTTTTAGGTGGAGGCACCAAAGAGGACACTAGATAGTGAAGCTCCCACTTAGTGGAATCTCAGGATCCCCTGTTGCCAAGGTGCTGCTACAGTGTGGGGTATATTGGCTGGGAGGTCATCTCACATGCCTTTTCCCCTCCACCCGAAACACCATCACACATGTTATAGATTTGGGGTTTACTCCCTGATGAATCTACTCAGATGATCACAGCCTGTTATCCTGCTTACGCTGTTCTTGTGGCAGAAGTTGACGGCTTGTAGGATCTGCTGTACGATGTTCTTTGTTGTTGTGTCCGGGACCCTGAAACAGGAAATTAGATTTTGGAAACCACAATAGGAAGAAAATGGAGGGAGACATTTCCATCAAACGAAATATATAGACACCGGCACTCCAATAGCTTGTTCTGCCTGATAAAGGGGATCCTGCGAGACCCCGAAACGTCGCATTGAGTTCCCCCTCCCTTTTAGATTGTAAGCCCTCAGGATCAGGGCCCTCCTTACTATCTTGTCTTGAGTTGTATTGTGATTGTAATGACTTCCCTATATTGTAAAGTGCTGCGCAAACTGTTGGCGCTGTATAAATCCTGTATAATAATAATAATAGAGTGTATCACGTATTCTTCTCATATGTCAATAAACAGACGTATTTGACGTGTTATTGGGGTGCCGGTGTTGACCACGATTGCCAACCGGCGACAGCCGCAGCACCCTCATTATCTTTCGAGTGCGATGGGTTCATGGATTTAGACATTTCCATCAGGCACAATGTAGTGTTCCTCTACTGTCCATGTACTACAGCAGAATCTAATGGCAATGCAGGAATAAAGGACAATATTAATATTTCGGTCCCCTGTATGTGTATATAGCACCAACATACTACACACAGCCTGAGAGGGTATATAGAACCATTTGTACCAGTCCCTGCTCTCCATAGGGGCACACAACCTAATCCAGGGGTAGTCAGCCTTGGCCCTCCAGCGATGGTGAAGCTATAAATCCCATGAGGCATTGCAAGACTCTGACTGCCACAGGCAGAAACATGATGGGATTCGTAGCTTCACCACAGCTGGAGTGCTGGGGTGGCCTATACCGGATCAAGAGTATGAGGAATGCACTAGGACGGGGGTAGGCAACCTCGGCACTCCAGCTGTAATAAAACTACAAACCCCATGAGTCATTGCAAGACTCTGGCAACCACAGACATGACTCCCAAAGACAAAAGCACGATGGGATTTGTCTTTTCACCATAGCCGCAGTGCCGAGGTTGCCTAACCTTGATCTAAACCCTTCCACTGTTTTGATGGAAGCCAATCAAACCTACTGGTATGGTAAGTCCATGCAAACATGGGAGGACCATACAAACTTCATAAAGGCAATGACCTTGGTGGGACTCCAACCCCGAGAGTTGTATGACAAGAGTGCCATCCAGTTGCCTAGGTTAACATCAAACCTGTTAAAAGCAAAAGCACAACATGGCTACCATCACCCGTGTGAGCTAAAGAGCCCTTCATGTGCCTCTCTTGGGACTGGCTTCTCCACCTTGAGGACTAAGCCTCAAGAACAGATGTCCTCCTGCCCACTTCAACTCTCATTGGACAGAGGGAGGTAGTTGGTGGGGATGCGTCCTCCTCAAGTCAGAGCAGTCAGGCTCCTACTATCAGGGTGCCACTAGTTTCATAGGGGCACACAGAGTTGGTAATAGCAGCCATCTTGGGCATGCATCTTAGGCAGGAGTTTGAATGGCTGACAGGTTACCTAGTATTTGAGGTGGAATAAAGACACAGGTCCATCAAGTTCAACCTATTGCATGTATGCATGTTATCTGCATGTGTATGAGTCCCTGTGTGATCTTGTTCTGAAGTGTACCTGTACCCCTGTATGGGGTTCACTTTACACGAATAGCATTGTTGAGGAGGCTGTGTGATGGTTGTGTACATAGGCATCAACATCACTCTTCTTGTCTACTGCGGCAAAGTGCAGGAACTGAGGACCAATCAGAATTCTTCTTTCTTACTGCTCTGGTGAAAGACACAATCTGATTGGTTGGTTAGGGTTAATGTCTGTTACACAGTCTGTTTCATCCTATGAAATGACCTTCACATGGGACTTACCCATTGGGGTGTTTCTCCAGCTCGTTAAGAACCGTTTGGTCGCAATATTCAAAGACGAGGTGCAGTTTTCTCTTCCTGCGGAAAACCTCCAGCAGGTTCACCAGGTTGCTGTGTTTCAGTTGCTGGAACAAACAAGTCATTAAGGTTAAAGGCCAACTCCAGTCCAACACGATGTGGGGAAAGGGGGCGGGACCTCGGTCAGGTTTTATTCTGTACTCTGTGCCCCATTTGGGAGATTGTCCCTCACTTCCTGTTGGGAAAGGAAGTAATAGGAATCTCTCCAATGCTCCAATGGAAACAGAGAATACGATAAGACACTT